AAGCTCTATTACAAAGCTGTCATCATCAAGACAGCATGGTACTGGCACAAAAACAGACACATAGATCAATGGAACAGAATAGAGAGCCCAGAAATGGACCCTCAATTCTATGGTCAACTAATCTTCGACAAAGCAGGAAAGAATGTCCAATGGAAAAAAGACAGCCTCTTCAATAAATGGTGTTGGGAAAATTGGACAGCCACATGCAGAAAAATGAAATTGGATCATTTCCTTACACCACACACGAAAATAGACTCAAAATGGATGAAGGACCTCAATGTGAGAAAGGAATCCATCAACATCCTTGAGGAGAACACAGCAGCAACCTCTTCGACCTCAGCCGCAGCAACATCTTCCTAGGAACATCGCCAAAGGCAAGGGAAGCAAGGGCAAAAATGAACTATTGGGATTTCATCAAGATCAAAAGCTTTTGCACAGCAAAGGAAACAGTTAACAAAACCAAAAGACAACTGACAGAATGGGAGAAGATATTTGCAAACGACATATCAGATAAAGGGCTAGTGTCCAGAATCTATAAAGAACTTAGCAAACTCAACACCCAAAGAACAAATAATCCAATCAAGAAATGGACAGAAGACATGAACAGACATTTCTGCAAAGAAGACATCCAGATGGCCAACAGACACATGAAAAAGTGCTCCATATCACTCGGCATCAGGGAAATACAAATCAAAACCACAATGAGATACCACCTCACACCAGTCAGAATGGCTAAAATTAACAAGTCCGGAAATGACAGATGCTGGCGAGGATGCGGAGAAAGGGGAACCCTCCTACGCTGTTGGTGGGAATGCAAGCTGGTGCAACCACTCTGGAAAACAGCATGGAGGTTCCTCAAAATGTTGAAAATAGAACTACCCTATGACCCAGCAATTGCACTGCTGGGTATTTACCCTAAAGATACAAACGTAGTGGTCTGAAGGGGCACGTGCACCCGAATGTTTATAGCAGCAATGTCTACAATAGCCAAACTATGGAAAGAACCTAGATGTCCATCAACAGACGAATGGATAAAGAAGATGTGGTATATATATACAATGGAATACTATGCAGCCATCAAAAGAAATGAAATCTTGCCATTTGCGACAACGTGGATGGAACTAGAGGGTATCATGCTTAGCGAAATAAGTCAATCAGAGAAAGACAACTATCATATGATCTCCCTGATATGAGGGAGAGGAGATGCAACATGGGAGGTTAATGTGGTAGGAGAAGAGTAAATGAAACAAGTTGGGATTGGGAGGGAGACCAACCATAAGTGACTCTTAATCTCACAAAACAAACTGAGGGTTGCTGGGCGGAGGGGGGTTGGGAGCGGGGGGGTTATGGACATTGGGTAGGGTATGTGCTATGGTGAGTGCTGTGAAGTGTGTAAACGTGGAGATTCACAGACCTGTACCCCTGGGGGAAAAAAAATATATGTTTATAAAAAATAAAATTATTTAAAAAAAAATTTAATAGGAGTAGCTAAAAAATTCAATGACTCCTGTGTTCTTCAAGTAATTCAACTAAAAAATAAGATCAACACCATTACAAATAATACACATATTTCCTTTTGATAAAAAACTATCCGGGAAAGTTTGTTCTCTATATTTTCTATAACTTCTTATTGATAAGAACTGTAAAAATTAGAAATATAATACAATATAAAAAGCCACAGATTAAGACAAGAGAGTTGGAATCTGAGTATACTTGATCATATATCTTTGTGCATTGTCTGTCTGGCAAGAAGCTGGGAGCAACCTAACTCTGCTGGTGATCAGAGTAAACACTATAGCATACCAAGAACGTGTGAGATGTCTCATGAAATAAGAAGTTTCTGGAAAACATAGTTTGAAAGTGAAACCCAGTAGAAATTTCTGCCTCTAAAAATGAATACATTCTTTTCTCTAAATTTCTAGAACAGTAAATCAGGCACAGAGCTACAGAAGAGAAAATAAATAAATAAACATTATCAAATAAAAATTTTACATGGAAAGTATATAAAATGCTCTTAGTCATGACCAGCAACATTCTGCTTACAGTAATATTTTTAGATTTTTTTAAAGTTATTGAATTTGCATGTATCTAGACACCAAAATTCATAGTAAGCAAAAAAAAAATTCAGTTACTAATAAAGTTCATGCTTCACTTCTCTTTCTTCCCTTGCTTTCAAAGAAGCCTTACTAGAAATAGACATTCTGCATCTGTACCCAAATGTTGGGAGCTGATTTTAAAAAATAACTTCAACCTACAAAAAGACTCTGGATTAAAAAATATAGCATAAGTTTTGAGATCTTTTTTACTGAGAATTTTTGAAGTTCAGATTTAAACTTGAGGTATATAAAACATGAATTAGTTTTTTGTTTCGTTGTGGTTTGTTAAGTATTAATGCCCTCAGTAAATGGATAGGCTCATGGCAGCTAATGAAATAGCACACAGTCACATTGCTTGCAAGTGGTAGGGCCCAGAGAGTTTACCCAGAAATTCAGTCCTACTCCTTTCAACCAAAGCACAGTCATAGGTGTAACTGATTACCTAAACCAAACATATTCATTGATTCATTAGGTAAACATCCAGTGAAAGTCTACACCATGCCACGTGCAAAATTCCAACAGTGTGCTGGGCAAACGTTCAACATTTGGAGGGAGGAGACTTATCATAGCAATTGCTTATTTACATAATATACACGCTTCTGTAATAACAGACTTCCATCTACCAACCTCACATCACTGAATTTTTCAGTTGGGGAGAGAGGTGCACAATCAACTCTTGTGAGCCCGTGTGAGTTGGCTCCTGCCCATGTGAAAAATGCATTGGAGTAGAGAGAGAGAAGCAACATACCAGTCACATATATGGTATATCAGCTACCAAAAAGTGTTATGGAGGGGAAAAAAAAAGAAAAGCTGGGAAGTTGGGTAGGCAGTGTAGGTTGGAAGGGACAATTTTAAATAGGATAGTCAAGAAAGATTCCCTTAATAAATTACATTTGAAGAAAGCCCTGACAGTGGTGGAGTAAGCCAAGAGGACATTAAAGGAAGAGCACTTCAGGGAGGGGGGCCTCTAGGAGGCTAAGCAGTAAAGGCTAGGGTATTTATTTTAGGAATTTTTATTTTTACTGTAAGTGAAATGGAAGACATCGAAAGGTTTTTCTGTTTTGCTTCAGTTATAGCCAAGGAGTGACATGGTCTCACTTATACTTTCCAAAATATTATTCTTCTTGATGTTTGAGAGTAAACCATTTGGGAATGAGCAAATGTGGAAACTCTGGTGATAATCCAGGCAAGAGTTTAAGTAGGTTGGATCAAAGTGGTAGTGGAGAGAATGTTGGGAAATGGTGAGATTTCAGATATGTTTTGAATGTACAAACAGTAGTATTTCCTGACAAATTAATGTGAAGTGCTGCCCCAAAGATGATTCCAAAGATTTTGTTCTAAGCAACTGGGAAAGGTGAATTTAGCATTTACTGAATTAGAACAGAGTAATTTTGGAGGAAAGATCAGGAATTTGGTTTGGTGTATGCAGAATTTGATATGCCTATTAACATCTAAGCAAAGACACAGAACAAGCAGTTGGGCATGGTCCAGTTCTGGGAGAGATTTGGGTTGGAAAGAAAACTATGAAGTTAGTCAAGATACTGATAATACTTAAAACAGGGACTCTATTGGAGCACCAGAAGAATGAAGGTAAATTTATTTAAAATCTATTCAGCTATTTAATAAACATATTCCAGCACTGTTCTCATTGCTCTGCAAGTATTAACTCATTTAATTCTCATAACCTAGAAGGTAATGCTTTTCTTTTCCTCTTTATACAAATTTAGAAACTAAAACACAGAGAGGTTAAGTAACTTGCCCAAGGTCGTAAGTAAATGGCTATAAGTGATAGAGTTTCTAACCAAGGCTGTCCAGTTCCAGAATTCTTATTACAGAAGAGAAATTATCTAAATGCCTGAGGCTTCCAGCACTATGACATTTAGAGGTCAGGGAGTTGAGGCAGATCAGATCAGTAAATCCTATTCATAGCCTGTAACACATTTTACTTGCCTATAGAGATTCTACTTAGGCTAAGAGAGAATAGATTTGCCAATGTTTGTTTCCCTTTATATTTTTTCACACTTTCTGTAACAAGCACATATTACTTTCAGAAACAGAAAAGATTGTTTTAAAGTAATAGAAGGTGCAGAGTTATTTTTTAGACCTTGTTTCAAAGGATGCATGTCACTCCCTGTTTACAGCACCGCTCAATGAGAGGATAACAATGAAAATCAGTACAGAAAAACTGAATCGCTTTTTGCTTAGATCATGAATAAAGTTACTATAATTTATTATCCAAAGAATAATCCTGAGAGTAAAAGGAAACACTATTAATTAATACCATAACAACAGATTAAAGTTAGGATTACCCTAAAAATACCTGTAGTAGGAATAAATACCCCCACGTAGCCTCTTTCTTAAGAATGGAATATGTATGAATACAGGAGAGCAGACTCTTTTCTGCTCCATGCATACTACCTTCTATACCTTTATTTGCTGTTCTCCTTGTTTACCCTTTTTCTAACTATCGGTTAGCACTGGGCATCAAAAACCAACTGAGAGCACCTGGGATGTTATTATCTGTGGGCATTGGAAATCTGCTACAGAGGGCTCATCAGTCCTTACAATGAAAAATAATAATACAGACTTTCACTATTTTGATGATCTAAGCCATATTTCAAGTATTAGAAAAGACATTACTGTCATTAAATATAAACAAAATCTAGTAAGAAATCACTTTACCCAGTGATTAATTTATAACCATTAAAAATAATTATTTTCATTCTCACTCTCACTTAAGTGAACTGAGAAAGAAAAAAACATGTAACTATCCACTTCTAATTCCCAAGTTATTTTTAATGCTGCATAAACACTAATTTGATGTGGCACGTATGCAAGCTAAAATGGCAAATGGAAATACAAGGGAATATACTGTACCTTGTTTTACCTGTAAGGAACACACACCTGACAAAAGGCAATTTTCACATCCAAGGTTGGTTCACTGCAGTAGTACAATAAATGGAGGCTCATAAATACCTATAGAAAAAGGGGGGGGGCATGAATTTCCAAATCACCTAATTGTTCATTATTTAATAGTATAAACTTTAATGTAATTTGAATTAAACACAAGGTGTCATGCATTACATATGTTTAGCATAATCTGTATCCTGACTAGTGCTAGGTACTTTTCATAAACCATAAACACTAAATGATAAAATAAGGTAGAATATCTTATTTTTATAACGATTAAGACCACCACAATCATAAAGATTAGATATAAAGAACTGGATATATACTTAATAAGTTAAAATTTAGAACATCCTATTATATAGAACTTTCTATTGTAGGCATTTAACTTTAAAAATCCCAAACACATGCTCAAGAGCATATATGTAAGGATTTTATCATAGAATAAAGGGACTTTTAAATAAACTATAATGGATAATAGAATTATATACAGGATATGGAATAATTGAATTTGAGCTTAATGTATCAGCATAGATAAATTTTTCAAACATGATGTTGAGTGGAGAAAAAGCAAGTTCCAAAGGGGTATGAAGATCACTGTATTATTATTATAAAATTTTTTAAATATACAAAATTATGTACATTGTTTTGTTATACAATCATAAAACCAGGACTAAAAAGAATGGGCACTATGTAAACATCAATTTAGTCTTGGTAGTTAAGAACAAAGATTTCCATTATATTATTTTTTCTGTATTCTTGAAATATTTTTTAATTTTGCAAAGGAGAGGATAAAATCAATATTTTTTTAAGGAGAGAATAAAATCATGTAATGATGGTAATACCAAATTAGGTATTAAATCATTTGAGTATGATGAAGCAGCATCAGAGAAAACCATCTGAAACCTTTTTCAGTTCAATTAGGCACACTTTACTGAATGTTTATTGTGTGTAAGACACAATTCTGTGAGTTAGGCACACTTTACTGAATGTTTATTGTGTGCAAGACACAATACTGTGAGTTAAACAGTTTTAAAACCACACTGACAGGGCGCCTGGGTGGCTCAGTGGGTTAAGCCTCTGCCTTTGGCTTAGGTCATGATCTCAGGGTCCTGGGATCAAGTCCCGCATCGGGCTCTCTGCTTGGCAGGTAGCCTGCTTCCTCCTCTCTCTCTCTGCCTGCTTCTCTGCCTACTTATGATCTCGCTCTGTCAGATAAATAAATAAAATCTTTGAAAAAAAAAAACCACACTGACACAAGACTTCTGTGTCTGACAAGAGGAATTATTAGGTATCTTGAAAACCACTTTCAGTGTAAGCTCCTAAAAAAGTTAGATGAAATATACTATATATATATATATTTTTTTTTAAGATTTTATTTATTTATTTGTCAGAGAGAGAGAGAGAGAGAGAGCACATGCAGACAGAGTGGCAGAGGGAGAAGCAGGCTCCCTGCGAAGAAAGGAGCCTGATGTGGGACTTGATCCCAGGATGCTGGGATCATGACCTGAGCTGAAGGCAGCCACCCAACCACCTGAGCCACCCAGGCGTCCCACAAAATATATTTTTAATGCATAACTAAACTGCCAAAAGAAAGAAAGAGAGAAGGAAGGAAGGAAGGAAGAAAGAAAGAAAGAAAAGAAAAGAAAAGAAAAGAAAAGAAAAGAAAAGAAAAATTCTAAGAGGTTGAAAACAATGTGAAAGATTTCATGCAGAGAAGTAAATGAGCTAAAGCTGCCACTTGGCCCCAGGCAATCTACTGGTATCTGAAGATGAGAACTTTAGCTTTTAAAGAGTAGAGTGTAGAGTTCAGGAAACAAAGCTTAGAACCTATCTATGCTGGGAAGTCACACTGAAGACACCCACACTGAGCTTAGTAGAGGAAGTTTGTTTGTTTGTTTTATTTGATGAGGTATAGTCACAGTGGTTGCAGCTTTTTATTATTATTATTATTATTTAAAATCAAGTTAGTTAACATCTAGTGTAGTATTGGTTTCAGGAGTAGAATTTAGTGATTCATCACTTACATATAACACCCAGTGCTCATCCCAACAAGTGTCCTCCTTAATGCCCAACACCCAGCTAGTCCATTCCCCCCCCCATCTACCTCCCTCCAGCAACTCTCAGTTTGTTCAATAGAGGAAGTTTTAAACAAACTATAGGAGAGCTAGCAATACAATCTCAGAAGGAAGGTCTGCACTGCAAGAAAAAATATATAGGAATATGGCAGATTTTTTAAATTTAAGAAAGAATGAAAGGGCAAGAACATACAAGACATTCCCGAAGAAGAACAAAGTAGATGTTTGTGGAGGTTAAAAAGGTAGAAAGCTAAAGTAAACGTATGTAGGATTGATGCAAAGATAGGCTTATAAATTAATAAAGAACCAAAAATAGATACATATATACATGGAATCCTAATTATGTTAAAGTCTGCATTTCAGATGTTTGGGGAAAGAAGAAACTATGCATTAAATTATGCTGAAACATGCATGATAAATATGTGGGGCAGAGAGTGGGGAGGAAACACACCTCTGTTGAAAGACAATTCTTTAATTAGGTCTTTTTACATTTCTGCATGTCTTGAAAACAGAAGCATTGACTGTTTTTATTCCAGACTATCTTCTCAAGGATAATTATATAGCAAAAAATCTTGGAAGAGAGAGATAGTATTTCCCTATGGAGAAAAGGGCAGGTTTGATTACTCTCCTGTATAATAAAGATAAGGTGTCCCTTTGGGGCAAGCCATGCTAACTGCCAATTATAAAGATTTGGGTTCCTTACACTTCCAGTTCCTCTTCTATAATGTAACCCACTGTATATGCAGTAGTCACCTGACTTTATTTGAATCATCCTGTGGGATTGGGGCCTAAGAAATTGAAACGAATGTTGATATTGTATCTACTGATATTAATGTGAGTAATAAAGTTCAAGGATTCATGTCTACTTCTTCAATTTGCATGTTTGTTTCATTATTATTTTTTAAAGCCTACATATATGAAATACTATTTGATATGTCAAATATTTTATAATAGAAAAAAATTCAAGTGACACAAAGAATTAATGGTTGTTTATTCTTTTGCTGACCATTGCTTTGTAGGCACGAATGCCTGGAACCAAAACATTCATAATAGCCATTAACGGGAAATGATCTTGAAGAGAAATGCCAAGGGATAAAGCAGGAAGATAGAAGAAAATGTGATTGATGATAATATTAAACTACCGAATTGAGAAATTCTGGAACTTTTGTTCTTCTAGACTTTCTGTTATGTAATACTCCAGTCTCATTCTGTCTCATTAACTGAGCTTTTTAAGTTCTTCAAATTAGGTAAGTCCTCCAAATTTTTTTCTTCTTTTTATTTGGGAGACCCTTCTAGGTCTTTGCCTTTCCACATGAACTTTAAAATCAGCCTGACATTTCAAAAAAAATTTTTTTTTAACTTTCTGGAATTTGATTGAGAAGATATCTTAACAATATTAGGTGTTTTTATCCATAGTTATTATATTTTTTCCCATTTATTTTAGTTCTAATTTATCTCAGGAATGTTTTATAATTTGCAGTGTATAAACCTTATATGTTTCTCTTTAAGTTTATTCTTTAGCATTTATATTTTTATGCTAATGTAAATGGTATATTTTTAATTTCCATTTCCTAAATACTTATTTTTTTAAATAATGTTAATTTTTGTAAGTGACCTTGCATTCTATCACACTACTAAATGCATTTATTAAATCCAGTAAATATTTTATAGGTTGTTTAGGATTTTCCTTATACACAGAAAAGTCTGCAAGTGAAGACAGTTTTTCCTTTTTCCTCTCTAATCTGTTTTTCCTTGCTTACTCCAATTACTTAGTAATTGCTTACTTCAGTACAATGTTGAATAGAAGTGAGGACATGCTGATAATCTTTGTCTTTTAATAGATGTATTTAGTCCATTCACATTTAAAGTAAATATGGATATTGCTGAGATCAAGCCTACCACTCTACTACTTGTTTAGTGTTTTACCCCTGTATTCTTTATTCTATTTTTCCTCCTTCTCAGTCTTTTTTGGGAAGAATTATCTTTTTGTTGTCCATTTTATTTTGTCTAAAAGCTTATTGTAGGGCACGTGGGTGGCTCAGTGGGTTAAGCTCTGCCTTCAGCTCAGGTCATGGTCTCAGGTTCCCAGGATTGAGCCCCACACCCCTCTCTCTCTCTGCCTGCCTCTCTGCCTACTTGTGATCTCTGTCTGTCAAATAAATAAATAAAGTCTTTAAAAATAAATAAATAAAAGCTTACTAGTTTTACTTTTTTTAGTGGGTGTTCTAGAGTTTACAACCTGTATTTTTAAGTCATCTAGCTTCAAATAATATTATTCTATTTCACATACAGTTTAAGAAACTTATAATAGTATATTTCAATTTTCTCCTCTGGTCCCTTGAACAATTGTTGTCATATATTTCATTTATACATATTTTATAAACCCCATAACAGATTGCTATTATTTTTGCTTTAAATAAGCAATTCTATTTGAAAGAAATTAATAAATTACAAAGAAGGGTATCTTACATTTGCTACATATTTTCTCTGTATAGTTCTTTCACACCTTTCTTTAAGGTTATTGAAAATGGTGTTTTTATTTTATTTTCATTTTCCAGATGCTCATTTCCAGCATTTAAAATATATTGTTCCATTCATTATTGTCTCATTATCACACAGCATGCATTAAGTGAGGAAATGTTCTCCCAGCCACTCCTCAGTTTTTCCTTCAGTCTTCTCACAACAATTTGTTTGTACTTTTATTATGAATATCTTACAATATTGTAACTGTTTGTTCATATGTCTATTCCATACTACATTATGACCTCCTCAGGGAAAGTGACTATGTTTTATTCATGTTCACAACCCCAGGGCCCACACTATTCTTAGTATATAGCTAATGTCAAGTAAATGTTTATTGAATAAAAGGAAAACCAAATAAAAAAACTTCTTTCCATCTCTAGCACAAATCTAAGTATTTTCATTATCTTTGCATATTGATATCTGTAAGTTTTCAATACTTTTGATGTCAACAAATTAGGAATGAGGAGT